AGGACTCCTTTAAGTATCTTTTTGGCAACTTTGTACTTTGTCATAGTTTCAAAGATATTGGCAACTTTTACTCTCTACTCGACTACATTTTTGAGCAAGTATATGTACTCTTTACTCCAATAGATTTGTAATGACAAATGCAATTACTTACTACATTTTGTATGGCACCTGATTTTTTCTGCAGCAGTTTATCTCTGCTGTAAGCGAAGCGATACGGCCATCTACAGGGCATTGGAGGTACTATCCCTTACGAAAAAGAAGTTTATTCAGTACAACTGAGAAAAGTAGTTGTGCACTTAAAGTTTACTACTGTTACACTTATAGATCACTTAAACCTATACTTTTATATAATAAAAAGTGGGCCAATTTAGTCCCTGATATTAGTATACTTACTGCATAAAGTTAATTGTACTTAAAAAGTTTACTTGAACTTTATTTTAGTTTAGGTTTGAACGGTTAGTTCGAATCTGTGATTCTGATTGGTCAAGAGATGTGCTTTATTCATGATAAAACACGGCTATGACCGCTTCACCCAACGGTTCTATTGATCGCTGCGTATGTCGTTTTTATTTGAGCTTTCATGCATTTTACACATTGGAACGTTGTTGCTGTTCACGCTCAGGGACTATTTTTTCAAGTGGAAGGAAGGCTTTTAGTGATTTTACTTCAAGAAAGTTGCACTAATACATTGTTTTTTACTTTAATATTGTGTGGCAACCGTTTTATAAAAGCAATAAGGTACTCGAGGCAAGTGCTGTATCGTATACTCCGCTTCGCGTCGTGCCTAATAACGCCCTTCAGCCGTTACTTATTCACGATACAGCACAGCCTCTCGTACCTTATTGCTTACATACGTCATTAAATTAATTTGAAGTATACTTTTCTCGTAAGGGATATCGCGTGCCTTTTGCCCAAAGCGGTCAACAAGGCTACTGTACATGAATGCAAGTTCATTAGCATGTAGTTGCTGAATCGCAGGCGTTTCATCTATGAGATGAGAACATGCAGCCTCTGATGAGGCCCAAACTAGAACTTGTGCCCTTTTTGAGGACTTGAGCTTAACTGAGACTTCACTGTTCGTAGACTTTTAAGAGGCTGTTGTGTCCATCTTGATTAATTGCAATACTGAGATGTTCAGTTTTATTTTGTGTTTAAAAAATTAAGGTGTTGAGGACTAATGCATATTTGGGCCTACATTCAGTATGAGTAACATACTATTGAGATTAGATACTCAAGCCTTGTCTGTGAAAACGGAGTTTCCCAGACTAAAATGAATGTCTGAGCGGTTTTAACTAAAGTCCACTTGCATTAGAACTATATCTGAGATATCTTAAAATGTCACTGCCATTGTTTTGAAGCAAGAGTCACTGATCACTTAATGTATGGTTTTCAGCTTCTCTTTACATCTCTGGCTCTAAGTACCAGTTGATTTTGGTACAGACCCCTGTGTTGTCTGCTCAAAAGCTGAAAATGAAGAGGACTTTCCCCTTTCAGCAGGACAATGATCCAAAACACATCTGAATCAACCAAAGTATGGCTTCAGCAAAGACAGATGGATGTTTTGGAAAGGCTCAGACGGAGCCCAGACGGGATTCCTATAGAAAATATGTAAGGGGACATTTACATTTATTCATTTAGCTAACGCTTTTATCCAAAGCGACTTACAATTGCTATATATGTCGGAGGTCGCACGCCTCTGGAGCAACTAGGGATTAAGTGTCTTGCTCAGGGACACATTGGTGTCTCACAGTGGATTCAAACCCGGATCTCTCACACCAAAGGCATGTGTCTTATCCATTGCGCCATCACCACCCCCAGGATCTGAAGTGGATCGTCCACATTAGATGCCATGATCACAATTTAACAGATCTGTAAAGTCTTTGTAAAAAGTGAGAAAATATTCAAGAAAATATCAAGTTAAGACGTGGCACGATGCTGTAATGAAAGGGAGTTCAACTAGTATTAATCAGGGGTGTAAACAAAAATGCAGCTAGCTATAACAAGTTTAAAAAAAATCTCTAAAGTGTGTCACTTTGGGTTTCAGTTGCATTGCATAGGTTGTCATTTTTACATTCAAGGAGCAAAAATATGATTTATCTTCGTTTCATTTGTACATCACTTTTGATGACGATTCAGCAAAGCTATTTTATCGATAAAATCCATTAGGGAAAGTTGATAAGTTTATGTGCGCGCGCGCGTGTGTGTGTGTGTGTTTCAATAAAAACAGAGCATTAATATAGACCTTATATAGCCCCGCCCCTTTTCAGCATTGCGCTCGTTGTCTTTTGACTTCCGGTCTGTATTTTCACAGAGATCTTGCATAGGTAGTGAATGAACTGCTCGTAAAAAAAATTCCCGGACGACATTTGTTAAGACATCTGCTTTACAATGCTCATGATAACTTTTGTTAACTCTACAATAAGTAAATCCACTTCACCAGCTAACTGCTCATCGACAGCGATGCCAAACATACAGAGCGACCGCAAAAACGGACGTTCAAAGACAATATTCTAAAGATGACGGCGCCCACGTTTCTCTGGTGCATAAGGTCTATAGAACGGTGATTGGGAACTACCTTTGCATTAAACTATTTTATTGCACACGTTCCAGTCAATCAGAATAGAGTATTTAGACAGACCATGGTATGAATCGCTTTACATAACTATAGTGTATTTATGCATGAATGAATGTTATACATCCAACTTTTAATATATTGATGGGGGATACTATAGTTTAAATTTGATCCCTAAGAATCAAGAAGTTTAGACTTGCTATAATTGTACATACTGCAGTTTAATAAGTGTCACAGTCAGAGGCATAAGTGAAGCTGAAATATATGAAAGATCACCCGACAATCTCAGTTCCATAAAAACAAAAATCACTAATTTAAATGAGTAGTAGTACTTCGAGTCATGATAACGCATTGAAACATGCCAAATTGCCAACATCATTTTTGTCCAGGCTGACATAAAAAGACATGAACACATGCAAAAACAAGAAAGAACCAAAAAAAATATAAGGGTACATGAATTATCATGAATTCATGTACAAATTAATGCATGAACTATGCATTCATTCATGCATTAATTTCTCATGAATCATCAGGAACTAACACACGTTTAGTATTCTTCATTCATGTCTTCATGAATGAACAACACCTTAATTAATACATTAACTAAGATGAGCACATCCTCATGAATTATGATTTATTAAGCATGATCATGATGGTTTTTTTTGTTCTTTGTCTAGGTCAGTGACCTAGTCACCACTTTAGTTAAGGGGCCACACACATGATGAAGTCATTAATAGATTAATGCTTAATTAATGATGACTACTGTATTGGACAGACACCAAAATAGAGCAATCACAGCTCATAGAACACAAATTCTGTTAATCAAATACAAGTCATCATTAACTAAGCATTATCTATCAATGACTTCATCATGTGTGTGGCCCCTTAACTAAAATGGTGACTAGGTCCTTTGAAAAACTGATGAACAATTTGCTATTAATGGTGGCATAACTGTGAACAAAGGAAACATCATGATCATGCGTAATAAATCATAATTCATGATGATGTACTCATCTTAGTTAATGTTTTAATTAAGGTGTTGTTCATTCATGAAGTCATGAATGAAAAACGTTGAACTCATGTTAGTTCCTGATGATTCATGAGATATTAATGCATGAATGAATGCATAATTCATGCATTAATTTATACATGAATTCATGATAATTCGTGTACCCTTACCTTAAAGTGTTACCAATATTAATATGCGATTATGTTGTAGTCAATGCATTCAAAACAATTCAATTCAATGTAGTCTAAGAGCTTTTTGTTTTTCTATGCATTTTTTTTGTTTGCATAGTAAAAGAAATCCTGTAGATGTAGTTTGCCTTTTTGCCAAATACTTTTATTAGATATATACCCTCACCAAGTTTATTGTTTTGATCTTTCCTCATATTTAAAATATTTTAAATATGTATATATAAAATATAATCATCTTATTTAAAACAAATATCCCCTCCAGGCATCACTTTGGCCTCTACTGTATGAGGTTAATAGTTATGAAGATTAATAAACACTACAAATGTACATCTGTCTTCATCTATAAAGATCTGTCTTCGTCATCATATCCAGCGAGCTTCAATAATTATTGATTCTGACAAAAATATTTTAAATCTGGAAGACTTTGGCCATGTATTGTCATTGCTGTTTTCATGTTTATTAATGTTTTGTTCATGTAATGCAGGGATTCCCAGAAAGTTTGAACCCTTCTAAATTTTAAGTTAATTTTTCAATAATTTAATCAAATGTGTATGTTCACAGCTCTGTTATGTTCTGATTAATCCTGTTAATGGACACATTGACATGCAGGTACAGAAATAAAATATATTTCTATTTTTAGTGTTCAAGTATTTTATTTTGATTGTTTTTATCTAAAACATATTTATTGTAAAATGTATTTTTTTGTGATTTACTTATTTTAATACTTTTTAAACCAACTCACAAACTCCCTGCAGTTTTTTCACTAACCCTAGTTAGAAACTCTGGTGTAAAATAATATTAAATTCTCTCTCTCTCTCTCTCTCTCACTCTCTCTCTCTCTCTCATATATCAATATGGTACACAATAATCCCATAAAAGTGTTAAATCAAAAGTAATCTAAAAGTACTCAGAAAGTTTTTTTTATATATCTTAGAAGCTCACTAAGTTTTTGAACAGAACCATAGTTTGATAATTTTCTTCAACCCAAACAAAGTAGTACAACTGTCTTCAAAAGGACTGTATTACGTAATAAAAAGAGTAAACTAACTAAAAGATGTAAAGATGTGATGAACTAAAGCAGCTAAATTGTGTTACAACGCCCTCTTGTGAAGAAACTGCATTACACCTTAAATAAAACATATATAGTTTTACATGTAAAATAATCTATAACAAAAAGGTAAATAATGGTATTTAGTTCATTGACACAATGTAAAAAATATACACAGTTTACCTTTTACTGTACATTTCAGAGTCCGAATCGGAAGAGTCCCTTCTGCTTCGGTGTTTCGACTTCTCCTTTTTCTTCTTTTTCTCCTTCTTACTCTTCTTTTCCTTTTTACTCTTCTTTTTGCTGTCAGATCTGTAATTAATATCAGTTCTCAACTTAGATAGTTTGCCTTTTTGTCAGCAGTATCCTTTTTGTACTCATGAATTTTCACGTTTCTTCTATACAATTAACTTAAACATAATTTTTGCCCAAAGGAAGATGTATATATATATATATATATATATACTGTATATATATACACTCTAAAAAGAGATGTGTTAAAAAACAACACACATCATGTGTTGATGGTATTTTGACACAAGTTGTTAACACAATGACACAATGTGTGTTAAAATGTAACTGGATAGAATTTTAATGGGTTGAGGGAAGTTTGTGTTTAAGAACATAACTAGAGGTAGTATATTTTATATGGTATCCCATAACAAGCTCTAAAATAAATGAAACAATACATTACAATAAATAAATAAAATCTTAATTCATAAAAAAAACTTCAGATTAATTAGTGTTTTTGGCAGCCAATCACATCATGCCTCTGTTTCAATGTTTTATTCAAATGCTGATTTCACTTGTTATTAATAACCAATTTATTATAACAAACAATTTATTTCTGTCAGACGTCTACATAAACACTTATTGAGAATTACCAGGTTTTGTGTTGACGATTCATTGAATGTTTGATTTGAAGTCACTAGAATCGTGATTAGTGTCAGCTTTATTTGGGCTCTTGACCCTTCACTCTTTATCATTCGTTTCTCTGTTTGCTGTTTCTGTGTATTTATATTGCACATCTGAAAAAGTTGAAATTATCTTGAGGAAAAAGATAATTAAATGATCATTTTTCAACATGATGTTTTTTAACATAGCAAGATAAGTTTAATGTTTAAGAGATAACTTATATTTGATCACTTATATTTGATTACAGATACTCAGTGTGTACGTGATATTATGGTGTATGCTACCTTATGCTATAATTCTTTAAAAAATATGTTTAGAGAAAGTTTAAAGCTGCGTCAGAAACTAGTCAAAAACACACATCAAGAATCAGCATATGACTCTCAACAATGGTGGCAAAGCTTCATGTCTCTAGTATAAAGCTCATCCATAAGTCCCAGCATGCATTGCGGCATGAAACTTTTCGTTTGTCACCATTATTGAGATCCATACGCTGATTCTTGATATCTGTGTTTGACTGGTTTCTGCTGTAGCTTTAAACTTTTTTTGTCATTCTGCACTTTTCGATTGCTGGATGTAGTTTCACAAAACTTTCAGAACTAACAATAAATCATTAAAATAAAGCACACCATCCATACACTCAAAAATTTCATCATAACTTGCTGATTATGACATCATCAAGAACCATCTGATCATATTTTCTGTCACCAAAACAGATGTATTTTATTAAAATACAGTTACAGCAGCCAGAGAAACACTAAAACAAGAGTAAAGGGTCAAGAGCCCAAATAAAGGAGCCATTAATCACGATTCTGGTGACTTGAAATAAAACTGAAATGAAACATCAAACCTCTGTTAATTTTCAATAAGAGCTTGTCTATGTAGATTAATGATGTTTAAAACATCCAAATGTTCAAACAAACTCTATTAAACATCACTGGACTACATAAACACAAGTTACCAATACGTGTCAGTGTTCATCCAAACACTTTTGTAAGCACACGGGAAGTAACTACTAGCAAATACTCTCCGACTACAGTCACATGTGACGCATATCTGACACAAGTTGTGTTACTATAACACATTAGTGTGTAAAAGGTTTCAACAACACACTGCTGTCTAACACATTAGTTGTGTTAAACGTAACACAAAATGTGTAATCCTTATAAACACAGAGATGTGTAAAGAAACAACACAGGTTGTGTGTTAAATTTGACACAACATGTGTTGTCCCTGAGCACACACACTAAATGTGTTAAAATCTACAAAATGTGTTAAAATCTACACAACATGTGTTAAAATCTACACAAAATGTGTTGTCCCTGAGCACACACACTACATGTGTTAAAATCTACACAAAATGTGTTGTCCCTGAGCACACACACTACATGTGTTAAAATCTACACAGCATGTGTTAAAATCTACACAAAATGTGTTGTCCCTGAGCACACACACTACATGTGTTAAAATCTACACAGCATGTGTTAAAATCTACACAAAATGTGTTGTCCCTAAGCACACACACTACATGTGTTAAAATCTACACAGCATGTGTCATTTTTAACATCTCTTTTTACAGGTTGTGTTATTTACAAAATCATTTTATAAGAGTGCACCAGTGTGAATAAAACTTATTTATACACAATATTTTGTCAGTTGCTACATTTAAATCTAATTCAAAGTGCAAACTTAGTGAAATCACACTCCCTGTGTTAAGAACAATAACACACTGGTTGAGTTAAAAGTAACACAAAATGTGTTGTCCTTAACTAGACACACAGGTGTGTTAAGATATAACACAGGTTGTGTTGTTTTTAACACATCTGTTTTAAGAGTGTATAAGCTAGAGGGTAGTTTAAGCCAAAATCAACAAGTCTTTAAAACCATAAAATAGATCAAACTTGTCTATATACCTGGTCAAAAGCTGTGCTTTATTCACGATAAAACACGGCTATGACCGCTTCACCCAACGGTTCTATTGATCGCTGCGCATGTCATTTTTATTTGAGCTTTCATGCATTTTACACATTGGAACGTTGTTGCTGTTCACACTCAGGGACTATTTTTTCAAGTGGAAGGAAGGCTTTTAGTGATTTTACTTCAAGAAAGTTGCACTAATACATTGTTTTTTACTTTAATATTGTGTGGCAACCGTTTTATAAAAGCAATAAGGTACTCGAGGCAAGTGCTGTATCGTGAATAAGTAACGGCTGAAGGGGTTGCACAGCTTTATCTTGTCTATATACCTTTTGTCTCCTTTATCATGTCTGTTGGCCTCCTCCGGCGTCTTAGTGGCTTCTTGCGGTCTGTCAGCTTTATGATGCTGGCAAAAAATAAATTCATAAATTCAAGATCAGTAACGATTGACTGTGCTTGTAATATGACTCTTGAGATCAGGGCTGTCAGAATTCCTCAATTAAACGAGTGCTCGATACTAGAAATCCTGTCGATTAACCAGCGAAATACTGGAAGTGGTGCATTCGTTTTCTAGGGCTGCATGATATATTCAAACCATTAAAAAATCATAATATAGCATAGTGGTATTGAGAAATCACAAAGGCTGTGATTAAACTAAAATAAATATATACTGTATATACTCTGCAGATTTGAAAGTGAAGCACAACGCTTTATTATTTACATGCATGCAGGTTACACGTTTCTCCCAGTGTCCGTTCATTGTAAATGCTGCATAAAAGTCTGACACACTATGTGTTTCATAGCGAAGCTTTGCACTCTACATGTGCTCCACGCATGTAAATAATAACAGTACAACACTTCACTATGAAACACAAAGTGTAATTTGGTTATCAGGTATGGTTAACAAACTCCATCTCTGCATACGCTGACAGTTTGGGTTGCTTACAATGTTCATCTGGGAACACAATGTGCACCATTTGACCAGATTTGTAACGTAAATCATTGTTTTGTTCATCACAATTTCAAAATAAAAGTTAACCCTCACTCTGAGTTTGATGTTCTTGTTCAAGACATTACAGTGGCTGTAGCGTACTGTATGTATTTTAAGTCATTTTAAAGGCTATTGTTCACTCAGGACTATTTTTAGTACCACAAAAAAATGATCCATTTACTCGTTTTGACATCAAAATAATTGACCGATTACTCGATTACAAAAATAATCGTCAGTGACAGCTTTACTTAAAATATGAGCCATGACACATTCTTAAAATCAAATTAGCATTAAAAACTGATTATCTCTATCTGCGTACCGTGAAAACCGGCAAACCCATTTTTACAGCTTCTTTTTCTTGCTTGGAGAGCAACATTCCTCTTGCCCCGGCCCTGATGAAGAACAAAAGCAGAATCTCAGGATGTTACACCTATTACATTCGATTTATAAACAAAAATAAGGTGAAAATAGAGGAGCACATTAACCCTTATGCTGCATTAGGGACATTTTTGGTCTTTTGCAGTTTAATTTCTTTGACCATTTTGGCTGTTTTAATGCAAATGGTATGAAATTTGGCAAAATTGTGACTTTTTGGATACATGTAAAAAATGTGATCCCATTTTGCAAAATATGTATAACACACACTGTGTAGATCAAATAGTAACACTCAGCACCATAAAGACCAAAAATGGCCCATTGAAACCCATTAAAACGTTGTTTAAATCTGAGGCTGTCAGTAATACATGAAACATGATTTTTGCACAAACATCCTTTCATTTTGAAGCAAAAGCATTATATTTGCATTATATAGTGTATTCCACCAGATGACGTCACTACATATTTATTCCCTATGGGTGGAAATGCACCTTATTTTAGGCAATAGGCAATGTTTAATAGGTGGCCATTTTTGGTCTCTAACGCGCTAAGTGGGATTTTTTGCAAAGTGGGACTGTGATAATCCAAATCTAAAGTTTTCTCTTTGCATTTAGTTTATTGAAAATAATTGAATTTTTGTGTTTTTTCCTCTTATACAAATCGATGGTTTCGCAAACAAAACTGGTAATTAAAGGGTTAAAATCCTGAAATTGAATACATTTTTGGTAGTTATGATGAGGACTGATGCTGGTTAAAAGATTTAACTTGGTAAAAGTGGAAAATAACAATAATATATAATATTTTAGGCAATGTTTAATATTTGGCCATTTTTGGTCCTTAATGCACTCAACGGTGTTAAAAATCTAATGCAGCACAAGGGTTAATGCTACTCCATAGACTGAAACAGAAAAGTGATTTTATTTTGTCTAACATTTGTCAAACACACAGAATGCTCAATGAACCCAGAGTATTATATTGAGTTAACATAGTCAGACAATGACATTCTCAACCGAGTGGACAACGGATGTCATACTTCTTTTGTGTGATGGCTATTCCCATTGTCCACGGCTGATGCTCCTATGGGGATTCGCCCTTGCAGAACCCGGTGTCTGAGAGGCTCTTGCACAAACAAGATTTGTGCCAAGTACAATGGCTAACGCAGTGCAATGACATCGCAGGGTGTATAAGGAGGTCACCAGCGTTTGCTGAGGCAGTGGGATCTTAGGTGGAGTGGGACTTCACGTCCATGATTCTGATATAACTGACCTGGTGTCCATAGAAATAGAGAGACCTAAGAGATTGGTTTCCTTGCTCGACCCAAACACGATGATCTGGTGTAACTTATGATTCGTTGCATAGCCAGACATTCAGCTGAAGGTGATGATACACCTTCTAAACCACGTCACAGACGACAACGAGGATTGTGGGATAGGCGGCAGGAGCTCTGCACAATATGGCAGATCTGCTCAAAGACCTTGGTTTATCTCTAGCTCTAGCACGATTGGCCGGTCCATGGCTGCTATAGTGATGATGGAGAAACATCTCTGGCTTAATGTGTCAGGGATCAAGGATTTAAATAAAGCGGTCCTCACCCTCAGGGCTGCTTTCGGCACTGTCGTTGAGATGGTAAAGGACATGTTTTGAGGTGAGAACGCAGTTGGGCTATGTGGGATAAAAGGTAGGGATGTAACGATACCCTCATGTCACGATTCTATACATATCATGCAATGATATTGTTGACATGATATAAGGCTCATAAAAAAAATGTATTGTTGATTAAAATGCTAAATTTGGTATTACATTGTGGGTGTAAGGCTACGTCCACATTAATCCGGATACATTTGAAAACGGGGTTTTCGTTTAAAAACGCTCTCCGTCCACACTAGCGTTTTCAGGTGTTTTCCGACGTTTCAGTGTGGATGAGAAACTTCTACATACACTTTACTGCGCATGCGTGAAACTTCACAAAAGCTCACTGAGATGATACAGATGGGAAAATAAATAATAATGTCATCGCACAATAACATGATAATTTTATTTAGCAAAATATCTCACCATCACGGATGTGTCCATGTCGCATTCAGTCACCATATGTTTGGTCTAAAACGCAACTGCTCTCCTGTTTTGCCGCAGGACAGCAAATGTGAGTAGACTACATTATCTGTTATCTTTGCAGTACTGTGCTATGAAGAATAGCACATATTAAGTAACATATTTTAGCAATAGTGTAAAAATGAATAACACATAACAGGCACAATACCGATAAACATGAATATCTATTGGTACTACATGGATCACATGACTAAACTTGCGTCATCGTTTTGAAATACCTCCGGTTTCACTGTCCACACTACAACGCGAAAACGGCGTTTTCAAATTTATCCACTTTGGAGAGCGTTTTCCAAACGATACGTTTTTATTGACTTAAAACGCCGTCTCAGTGTGGACGGAAGGCCAAAACGGAGAGAAAAATATACGTTTTCAAACGAAAACGTATTAGTGTGGGCATGGCCTAAATGAATAGGGTTGGACTTGGTGCTGGAAACCCAAAGCACAGCACAATAGAGACATCAGAATAAACATATTCATGATTCTGAGGCTGAAAATAAGAAGCACCCTGTCACTGACTAAATATATTTAAAATAATGTAGGCCACTTTTTCCCTGTAACATTCAGACATTTGGCCCACAAATATCAGGACCCACAAATATCCCCCATTGCATTATTATACATTATATTCAACATTAAATATAATAGTTTAATGTAGTACTAAGACACTAAAACTCTGTAAACTTGCATTTTTTCCTCACACAGTAATTTGCATTTAGGGTGAATTATACACAATACATTTTGACCATGTCACCATCCACGATACATATTGTTGGATTTTTGTTTTGTGACACGATATATTGTTACAGCCCTACTAAAAGGCACTGTGTACGAAGTCATTTTTTATAGGCAGATATTCTTCACTTTGAATTTTGCTCAACCCAGATAATATGTATTAAACATTCATTAAGGTTCATTATGGTGGAATAAGTAACTTATATCTTTAAGAATGTATTTTTAGCAGGCAAAGAGATCCAGCCAACTTGTCACAAATGGCGGTAAACCAACATAAATCCAGCACTGGCTTTACCTGGAGCTTCCGAGCCCAGAGACCCGGTCCACGTCCCGTTCCTCCCCCTCTCCTTCCCTCCTGCACACATCTGCAAGATCCTGCAAGCAAGACAAACATGACTCAGAAAATGCAATGGGAAATGCTGCAAATACTTAAAAATGTGTATGTTTGGATGTTTACAAATGCAAACCTCTTTGGTAAGACCAGTTGGTTGTTTTTTGATGGTTTTATGTCCCCTAAAACAGACAAAAACATTAAGATTTAAACAGATTTTAATTTACAGGGCACTGATGGATCTAGCGCACGTACAGTGCTGCCAACATGGCCTCGTGCTCCGCCTCCCGCACCGCTGCCATCTCCTGCTCTTTAGACACAGTTGCGCCACCCTTCTTATCTCGGGCATACCACGTCAAATCCTTGCCCTTCTGCCAGCGTCCAACCGGCGCCATGAGGGAGTTCCCTGAAGAAGATGGACACAAGACCTGGTCACACTTTGGTTTTGGGAAAACATATTCACTATGACTTTTGTTTCAAAACGCTCCAAATTTAAAGTTTAGTAAGTGGTCAAGTTTAGGTACTGCCAGTTGGATTGAGGGACATTGAATATGGTCATGCAGAATAAGGTATTAATATACTGTATATATATAAAATTAAGAGTAATTTAATTAAAGAGTTCTTAATTAAATAAAATATGTACAATTAATATATATATATATATATATATATAATTTAATTAAGAGTTTAATACGTTTATAACTATCTATATATATATTGCCCTTCTGACTGATAGAGACAAGATGAGCAAGCAACTTTGTAAGTTAAATGTCTTGGGGGTCTGATAGGTCAAATGCGCACATGGTACATCAAATTATGAATCCTACTATGATGAAGATAGCTTTCTTGCACAGGTTGCGTGACGTCTAGCCAGTAGGCCTCACTGACGTCATCACGACAACGCAATATTAATGATCTACGCATGCGCAGTAGAAGGTTTCCTGCAGGACGCTGGGGCGGTTACCTAGCAATGACAGCATGACCTTATTAATATTCAGATGCTGAGCCTTTGCCATAGTATGATTCGTGAACCTACACGCTGCCTGAACGTTTCGTTACTCTGGGTCCTTTAACAAGAAAGCCAACACGTCAACTAACTTAACTTACACCAACAAAAGCCACAATTGTGTCCGATACAAACACATTAACAAACAGGCGTTGTAATGAGAGACCATACCAAGGAAAAAGGTAGGAATGTCTGAATTTACACTACAATTAACGTTTCTGGGCACTTTAAACAGAAGAAAACATCTAATACAACGTGTTCCCAGAGGACAGTCTGTCATGGACAAACCATGCTGATATTATGGATTAGCAACATCTTTACAGAAAAGCAAACAAACTCAATACAAGTCTGCTACAATATCCTCACGAGTTATTAGCTTTCTGAACAGGCTGTCGCGCCCGTGTGCTAACGTAGTAAACAACAAAATGTTATCACAGACCAGTTACATGAGCTCTACTTCACAATTATTGCTAAATTCAAGCGTGTAAAAGGCACAAGAAATCATGCTTCTCTGAATATAACGCTATATACCAAACTAAGCACAATAATAGCGCAGAGTGAGTTAGCAGCTAACGTTAGCTCGATACTTACCCAGATAGTTCTCTCTATGTTTGTCCACTTTAACTTCATCCCAGTTGAACTGGTCCTGACCCCCTCTCACCCCTCCAGATCTCGACGAGCCGAACATGACTTCTGCTCAATATCCAGCACACTTCCAGCCTCCTGAAGGCACTGAGAGATGCTTTACACGCGTGTAGTAGAAGAGGAGTCAGGCCTTTGGTTTCCACAACATCCGGGAAACCGCTTCGTCTTTACTTAGTAGTAACAAATTCAGCACGAAGAGCCATTTTAACAACTACAAACATTATCTTGTCTAACAAGCTATATTCACAACGACACCAAAAAACGATTCCTTGCAAAAACAACAAAGGAGTGTCGTGAATAAGAAAATGTGATGTCAACATCATCTGCCGTCCGGCGCGCGCTTCACTGATTATGTTGTGAAGATCTGCGGAGAGTCGGTCCGCGTCTGATGACGTCATCGAGCATCGGTAATGGCTTTCATGCGAATGTCAGTCACCTGAAGAGAAAGGAAGATTTTAGGCTAAGGGGGGAAAACATTCTCCCTATTTTTGAACACTTTTTATCCCAATGTATGTGAGGTTTATCTCCAGGCTTTTTTCAGGTGAGTTGAAATGAGCTACCTCTTTAAATCCTCGCCAGTTGCATCATCCTTTTCAGTCAAGTGTTATACAGCAGATTAGTTGTGAAGTGCCATTATGATGTTTAAAAACTTAATTTTACTCCATACACTCGCAGCGGATTTTATTCATCGCGTTCGGTACGTGTGTTTCAAAGTGAACTTGCTGCGTTATGATTTAGTCATATGCATGTTATAAATGTGTAATGCAATATGCGAGCATGTGAATAATAATGCAGTTGTGCATATGCCTAGATGGATTTATTTATAGTTTATTAAGGGTTTTTGGTTGTATCTGTGTAAAGCTACAGTCAGTGTGGTCCAAAGATAAGTGAAAACTTTTCTGGTTTCCATTTTTGTAATGCAATAAACACAAATGACTAATACGGGGCATTATCAGCCTAACATCTGAGAAAAACCTAATTGAAAAAAAAAAAAAATACCTGAATTTGCTTGAAATTAAAGCTAGAGTTAGATCTATAAATAATGAAATATCAGATTTTTCAGTCAGCACTTCTAACATTCAAAAGGCTAGGCGGGTAAAAATGTGGAAGAAGACAGGAGTGTTTTTTGACACTGGGTTTAATCTCTTTAAATGTGCATCCTTTACTTCCCGGCTCTGCTCAATGTTAGGAAAGGATGCAGAGAATGAAACTGAGAAATCAAAACACAACTTCTTTGTAAATTGGAGTAGTCTTGATCACTTGAAAATGTCATCAGCTGCGCCCAAAGGATCTGTCCTCATGTTGAGGTTTGGTGGTTTAAGACATTCGTATAAAGCGAGAAGCCCTTTTGAAATATGTGAAATGCACTTTATTTAAAATTGCAAAGGTAGTGATGTTCCCAAAAATTACATATCACAATCTAAATCGCGATCTTCCCAATGTATTATTGATAATATCCAGATTGGAACAAGCCTAAGGACTTCTATATTTGCACAATCTAAAACACAGTATTGCATTTAACAATCAGTTGTCAAAACGGTAATTAAACTCCCCAAGGTAGTATTTATTGACACAGACAGCAGCAGGTTTTATGTTTTGAGAACGAATGCATGGATCTTATATAATGACACAGATCCAATTTCTTTCTCAAGTGTTTATAAGACATAACTGAGAGTCTTTATGTAAATACTCGCCAAGATGGACATTTTGTCACTCGCATTACTGCGCATTTGCACCTCTGTTCACTCTTCAGAGCTTCATTATAACAGGCTATAGTGTAAATGATTAAAATGATTAAATGGATGCCCCCTTATTGGGACAATAAAGCCCTCCCTAACGGATAAACACTTTATTAAACGCATGTTAAACACTTTATTTCCACTTTTAGAATATTTTTCTCCATTTTTATTGACAATTTGCTTAAAAGGTAGATCGTGGACCTCTTTAAGATCGATCACAGTATAAAATCGTCAGGTCGCTCACCCCAATGCGAAGGTAAAACGCAAGTTAAAATCATTGTGTTGTGAAGGAGTAGAATTCATACATGTGTGAGGTTTTTCAATGGCAATGGCTTTTCTTAGCACCTCTGGAAGAATCCTCACTCCTCGTTTCTCACAGTGCAGTTAGAAAAGGCTTCCTTCATTGATTTCTGGGTCGGTGGATGGAGGAGTTTGAGTATTGAGAAGAACCCACTCGTCTCGTGACTTGTCATTAAGCACCAGCCCAAACTGGTCTCATGGCAAGGGGTTGCACCATATGACTTGCATTAAAACGTGGATGTCACACGTGGAGCTCATTTATTTCAAGACATCAGTTTGTAATGGGAGAGGTTGAAAAAAATGTTGTGTAGTGCACTGAATTGAAGCTGAATTATTATATGATAGGGAGGAAAGCTTGGGATGTGGCCTGTTTTATGACCATTGTCAAGTGTTTTTCCTGTGATTACTGCTGTTCTGCAGTTTAACCTAGTGGAGCGTCCAGCTGTAGTGAATTATGCAGCAGTGTAGATTTTGTTCAGGGTCCCTATTGAATTGAATTATTGAATAGAAATTTTACATAACAGCACAAGGTGTCATGTTGTGGTTAACACTGTTTTATATTTAGTTGTATTATAGGAGAGGCTTTTAGTTTTTAGGGAATCTGAGGGCTTGCATCACTTGCGGAGAGACACATAAATGAAAGTGTGAGAACTTGCTTGAATTCACTGTGTGTGTATTGTAAACGTTCTCTTGTGAGCGGTGGCTCTGGTTTTGACACTGAAAAGGAGCTGTTAGGATTTCAAGTGCCTTCTGTCCCTCACAGCCGTTTGCTTTGGGACGTCACTTCAGACTCGAGGCTATTTTCAATTTAAAGATGCCATTTTAGGATTTCTCCATTTGGATGCCTAGTCCTTTTAAATTTACTTGCAAAAGTAAAAAGTGACTTATTTTGTAGTTATTTTTAAAAGGTTGATTAGCTTAAAGGGATGGTTCACCCAAAAATTTAAACTATCATTATTACTCTCCCTCTACGTGGTGCATTAACAAATACTTAATTAAAGTGAAGACATTTTAATGAGAACAACCATTGAGAATGTGTGGAGTGTGAAACGTAAGTGGCGTAACGGTTAATAGAGAGTCAGACTGGTAACCCAAAGGTTGCGGGTTCGATTCTCAATATCAGCACCTAACCTCCAATCGTACCCCAGGCGCCACAGCAAAAAATGGTTGCTCAGTGCTCCGTGTGTGTGTCCACGGTTTGCTGTGTGTGTGTGTGTGCGCACTGACTTGGATGGGTTAAATGGAGAGGTCAAATTCCAAGTATGGGTTACTTGGTCTTCACATGTCACTTTCAATGAGAGCTTAATGGGTGTCATTCACTAATAATTGATGGAATTCACCTAATTTGTGCGCACATGGATTTGTTCTTAACCTTGTTGTTCTGATGTTAATGAATTTGGCGTTTTCTAAATGAGCGACTGCATGCCCAAGGTTAGTTATATGGCATAAAACCTGCCCGTATCATCTCCATTTATAGGGGTCATGAACTGGCTTTTTAAATTTTATTATATTGTTGTCTGAGGTCAACTTATGACGTTCGCTTGGTTTTTGCATTCAAAAACATCAAAATGAATATATAATAGGCTTTTGTACCAAAGTTTTGAGCCTACCTGAAAAACGCTCGGGCGTCTCGCATTGAAGACTTGGAAGTAAACGCCCACTGCTGTGAGTGGATAACAGTTTTGCATATTATAATGGGTTTCAACTCACCCGTCGATGCACGTGGGGGAAATTGTTTTGAAAACGTCCAATGTTGTAAAATGGCAACCGGAATGATTCGCCCATACATGTCCAGCACAGCACCGTTGTTCTTTACTCTTAATCGGTTGCAAATCCAGTCTTGTTTACAAAACAATCCTTAGTGAAAGGAAGCGAACAGAGAGACGATGTTTTACCCTCATCAGCTGGAACGTCATTAAAAATAAAGTTTATCCGTGCAGTCCTATTGGAATTCAGAGGAAGCTTATGCAGCGACTGTCTTCTTCCACAACCAGGTACTGCACAATATTTTGTATTGCTCGATCCGGTTTGTCATCATGAGGTAGGCCATCATTTAGCTTATCATTCAGTTTGTCATCATTTAGCTATGCGTGTAATGTGCGAATCGGTGGGCTGGGCTAAAGCGGCAGTGTTGAAGTAGGTGTTGATCTTCTTCTGCGGGGGTGGTGTTTTATCCTCTTTGTCGTCATAGTTCCCCACTTTTAAAAATGAGTCGTTTGCTGAGGCTGGTGTCAATAAAATCTTTTATTGGACTAACAAGGATGTTTTTAGTTCTGAAACTTACAGAATATTCTTATAATATGATGACCTCTTAGATGTCAAAAGCTCAAGGAAAATTTGATTTCTCAGTTCATCACCCCTTTAAAGTTCAAACTCCCTGTGAACCGGATGTTCCAACCGACTTCAGTTTTTTGCTGTATTTCCAACACTTTACTTGAAGTGTTGTGACTTATTTCCAACTTATTTGTTTTGACTTATTTCCTTTTTCCAAACTAACGTCATCAGAGAAGAAACGCCATTCCAGAGAGGATGCAAATCTTCAGATTTTGATTAAAGATTACCACAAAAAAAAAAAAAAGTTTCTGGATATTATCTTGCACAGATTAATTGTTAACCACAAGAGTAGTAATGTGTGTGAACAAAGTAAATGGGGTCAATTTTGATCAATCGTCAATTATGACGAATTATGCTTTCTGACGTAAATGTATGACACTCGTTACACTCTCGAAAGATGCCTGAAAGATCAAGTGCACCATCCTCAAAACCAGTTCAAACATAAACATATTTTCTAAAGACCCACACTATATATATATATATGAATTTACCTCTTAGAAATGAAGAGTTCAGATGCAAAAGCCTCTAAGTGCCATTTGAAATTTTCTTCTAAAATGATCATTTTTATCAAGCTTGTATATTTAAGTTCAGTGATTTCACTTAAATGGCAATGGAGATTACCTATTAATTGTCATTTAAGTGAAATTACTGACCTTAAATACACAAGCTTGATAAAAATGGTCATTTTAGAAGAAAATTTCAAATGGCATTTAGAGGCTTTTGCATCTGAACTCTTCAAATAATTCACTTAAAAATGAGCATTCTGTCATCATTTTCTCACCCTCAAGTTGTTTCAAACCTGTATGAATAAATGGTAACCAAACAATTGATGGACTCCATTGACTTCACCCACATTCTTCAAAACATCGTCTTTGGTGTTCAACAAGAGAGAGATTCATACATGTTTGAAACAACTAGAGGGTGAGTAAATTAAGACAGAATTTAAATTAAGCGAACTATTCCTTTAAAATGATTATTAGGCCACCCAGAGTATGTGATTTTTGCAC